CTAAAGGTTGTTTAATATTTTTACAGGAGCAGGGGAGAGGTATCAAGGTTAACAAACAGGATAGGTGGTAGGTTCTACACGATGGGACACAGTGGGGTTCCTCGTTTGTTCATAGTGCGCTTCACCAGGAATGCACGGGCATCATGTGCAGAAAATTTTATTTTGTGGGGCTGTCCAAAACTTTGTAGAAAATTCAACATCTGGCCCTAGACTACTAAATGTCAGCATCACCTCCTTAGTCGTTGGGAATAAAAAAAAAATCCCTCATAAATTTCCATAAATTCTAGGGTGCATCTGAGAAGAGAGAGGGGCCAGTATCACGCTGGAACATATGATGGAAACGTGTATCATTGATGACTCCTGACTCTGGAATGAAATACATCACTTCACTTGAGAGGCAATGGAGAATTACGGAAGGCTTTAGTGCAGCTCACGTCATTAGAGCTTTACATAACGAAGACGGTGCTGGCCATAGAGGGTTAGGTGGGCTATGGCAGGAAGAAGCTGGAACAGGAGAGACATTGACCGCATTGCAAAGGCTAGGAAGCAGAGGTCAAGGCTGAACACAGGGGCTGGGGGCCGATGGTGTGTGTATGTGTGTAGGGGAGAGTGAGCAGGAGTCCTAGGACTGTAGGAACTCCAGGGAAACCTGCAGAGACGAGAGGGGCAAGGTGTGAGAGCGTTCTCGGTGGCCATGAGCATGGTGTTGACGCTGCTGACGGTGGTGCACTGGCAAGGAGCTATGGCTAAAGAAACAACCGAGAGAGGAGAAAGTGTGAAAGCCTGAGGTAAGTTTCAGTGCAAGGAAGTACGTGAGAGAGCCGTAGATTAACAAAGAGGGTATCTGATCTGTGCTGCTGAGGAGGACATGGCTGCTGAAAACTGTACTACTGCTCCACTACAGCAAGTGAACAAGATCCCCTTGGCGCTGTCCCTTCCTCATCCCTCTCGGGAACCTTGGCTTCATGGTGCTACCATCTTACGCAACTGCTGTCTTCTAGAAAAACTGTGTGTAAATTTAAGTGGTATAGGCTACAGTCAGCGTTCATACGTTTCACTGTATTCCAAGCACACGAGGCAAGCTGTCTATTCAAAGCAGCCTTTGATGGACTCTTTTGTTGTGTGAAAGACTAATTCCAAAAGCGTCCGTCGAACAGTTCCACACTCTGGATCCCTGGTTTGCTTCTTCTGGACAGTTAACTAGGTCATCGCATTCTATTCTCAGCGGCCAGCCCCACACAAACACTAATTACTTTTCACATCTGAAAGGTTGCGTATCACTTTGTCATTTCTAAATTTACATGATGCAATCCATGTACAAGATGGGAGCTCTCATACCCTGTGGGAGGAGCGAGTGCCACATGCCTAGTTTTCCAAATATATCTGGAGGCACAACATAGTTTAAAAGAGGCAGAACTTCAAGAACGCCTGTCTCAATCTCAGATTTTATCAATTTGAGGTTTTAGTAGGAGTTAGTAACTTCCTATCATCTGTGGAGAAAAACTTTGACAGTTTCCCATCTGAAAATTTATTTTTTGAATAATAATCATGAGCAACAAATGCGCAAATGAACAACAAAATACCCCATAAAATCAATCCTCACAAAACCCCAACCTACAGATTGTGGACTCTAAGACCCAAAATTGAAAGATTAATGCAAGGTTTTCAAGGCTTCCATGCCCATGGATTAGCAGTGACTACAGGGAAAACCCCATTTTTCAAAATCATAATGCCATGCTAAAAATTGTACTCGAGTCATGTAAGTTGAATGACTTAGGAAGTCCAAAGGTCCAGTCAGTGGCACACTGCAAGGACGTTTGGGAGAGACCATGCAGATAGTCAGCTTTCAAAATTGTCCCCTTTGGCCACGGCTGCTATTTCTCCTCGGCTTTTACTTTCCTTGTCCTTTTACCCCACCAGTTACACAGCAGGGGTCCCCTTCCCCTTGGGCTGTGGGCCAGTACGGGTCTGTGGCCCCTTGGAAACCAGGCTGCCCTGCAGGGGCTGAGTGGCTGGCGAGTGGCGCTCTGCTGGCTGTCAGATCGGTCGCGGCATTAGATTCTCATAGGCGTGTAAATCCCATGGTGAACTACGCATGCAGGAGGGATCTAGGTTGCACTTCTTGTGAGAATCTAAGTCTCTTGCCCTCTCTGCCCATGTGCCCCCATCCGTGGAACAACTGTCTTCCACGAAAGTGGTCCCTGATGTCAAGAAGGTTGGGGATGACAGAGTTACAGCGTGACTGGCAGGCTAGCACCTACCATCCTTTTAACGCATGCTCAATATACTCATCCTTGGATGTGTATATTGGAGTCATGTGGGAAGCTTTACGGCAACATTCTGATAACCTGGCACCACCCCCAAGGATTTTGGTTTTATGGGTCCTGGGCATCGGCATTTATAAAAGCTTCCCAGGTGATTCTAATATGCAGCCAGAGTTGAGAACCACTGTCTTATAGGCTGTTAAACTCATGGCCCTGCCAGACTTAGTCCATCAATTCTTGTATCCTTGGGCTCTTTGACTTTAAGAACCTATTGATCGCTGGTCTCACTTTCTCTGCCTTCATGTACACAAGCTGAAAAGGCAGGCTTGGAAGGCACAGTTGAATTCGTTCCCAGATCGGCTTCCAAAAGAAACTGGAAGAAGTCCAGGAAATACAAGTATTGGCAAAATATTTCAAGCTTCTGGAACATGCCACCTCCTGTGCCAGAGAAACTCAGAAAGCACAGGAGAGCCCTGAGTGAGAATTCCAGCCCTGCGTCCGACTCGGGTTCCATTAACTTGGGAAAACTGCTTACCCTTTCTGAACCTCAATTTCCTCATGTATAAAAACGGGAATACCTAATGCCCAAGGCATAATCAGATGACTACACAAAGGTGTTTAAAGCAGTGCCCAGTGTGTTCTACAGTGATGCTACTTAAGTGGAAGGAACAGAGAAAATAGTTAAAAATCCATTCACTGATTCGACTTCAAGTTCATAATGATTACCACGTATTGAGCTAATGTATCTAATGATTGATTCCTTTAAAACAAATATTTTTGACTTACTGACTGTATGCCAATCATACTGCTGGATACTAAGGATATGGCAATGATAAAATAGATATCATTTTTATTTTGGTACATTTTACAGCTTAGCTAAATGCTTTCCCTCTTCCTGGAGTTGATTTTGAACAGTACAAAGATTGAGCTTGCTCAAGGGATGGCACAGCTAGCAAACTGACCTTCAATTGACCCTCACAGCAAATACTCAGGGATGTGCTAGGCTGTTAAGAGAAACTTACACCTAGTAGACAGACAAACACTTATCAGAGCACCGGAGCAGCCATGAAGGGCCAGACGGCCATAAAAAACTTTATGAGAATATCAAAGGGAGCATCTCAGAAAACCTGATGGTTTTTTTCACCTGGTTCAGGCAGTTTTTTAAATGAGCAGTGGCGTTCATCTCTAGGTCCTTGAAGGCCAGAGAAGCTATGTTCCCTTACCTAATTGGGAGTGCTGCTGCGCCCGCCATTTGGAGTGGCTCTTGGATATGTTGTGTGTTCCGTGACTCATCTGCCTTATCAGAATTGAATTCTCTGCTTGGGGCTGCTGGCATCTTTCAATCAATTACTGTCACTACTATGACAATAGTGTCTCTCCTATGACAGTCCTAAGAGCTGAAATTATTTTACATGTGAGATTTACGCAACTCGACCAAAGTCATCGAGCTGGTTCACGACAAGTCCAAGGTTTAGCCTCAGAGCTGTCTGATTCCATGGCTCATCCTCCTAACCTCTGTCTCAAGTGGACAAGCCCCAGGTGACCGTACCTTAGAAATACCAAAACCAGGCTATTCTGAGAAATGATTTTAAAAACTACAAGTAGAGAATGAGAAGAGCAGATGGAACTGGAAGATGATGATGTGACCAAACCTAATCTAATCTTGGCCTATGGGCCCCTTATGAAATTACATGAGAGACTGAAATTCAATAAAGAATTGTGTCCAGTTTGCCCGGCTATCAATCAAACCTACTGATACTTAATTTCCTGACATTCCATAGATGAAAGGCCTCATGGTTCGGAGTCCCATCTCTTTATAGCTGCAGCTACAATTCTTGTCAGACCAGGACTGTCATAGCTACAGCTAAAAAGGCAACAAGAGCAGTTTGTAGATTGTATAAAACGTTTGCTAACTCCAGATAATCTCTTCTCACTTAAGAACCTTTACTCTGAGGATGGAGTGTATGGGTGTGTATGTACATGAATGCATATGTGTGTGAGTGCATGTGTGTAACTGGTCCCACTGCAAAGGCTGTGGAGTTAATGTGGGTGGAGAGAGATTTTAGACCAGTCTTTTCTGGTTCTCCCTGGGGTGACAAGTGTGCATGTTATAGGGTACTTATCAAGCTCACAGGGACCACCTTCTTTGCTCCCCATCCAGAACAGGGAGCCCACGCAACCCATGTTTATGTTAATGAAATATGATCTCACCTCCACTCCAACCACACTTGGGTTATTTCCACCTTTTGGCTACTGGGAATGTTGCTGCTACAAATATCTGACTACAAGAATTTTTCTGAGTACCTGTTTTCAGTTCTTTTGGGCAGATTCCTAGGAGTGGAATTGCTGGGTCTCGTGGTAATTCTTGAAACTCTGAACTTTTGGAGCTCAGATCCCTCCAAACTGTTTCCTGTTTCCCACACAGGAAGTTTTCATTGGATTCCATACAATAACTCCAGAATATATTCAATTATTTCCTTTTGTTTCTTTAGAATAGACATTTCCTACTTACGTTAGAGTTAATGATTGTTACTTGCAACTTAGGGAACCTAAACTAACAGAGAATACAATTTCTAGTTTTGGATCATGATATTATAAGAACAATGGGCTCCAAACTCCTCTTTTAAAGCTCCCCAAAGGGGCGGGCAATCTCCTGTTGGCAGTAATCACATCAGGTGATTGTCTTGACAAGATTCTGGAAGATGGCTTCACTGAGACTGTTGCTCAGATTACCACTTACTCTGGGACCAGGCCTCATGGGACCTGGCATTGAGAGCATATTCCAATTCAAAACGACTCCTGAAAGCTGCCACATGACTCCGGCCAGGCCCTCCCTGGCTCACCAGGCAATCAGAGGAAGAAGAAGGCGAGAGAGACCCACTGCTGTTACTTGAGGCAGGAGACATCAGCTAAGAGAAGGAGGGACAGTCTCCGTTATCAGGTGTAAAGCAGAATATGGTTTTACTTTAACTTTCTGTTCTAAGGTTTCTCATATTTTAATTTCTACTCAGTCCCGCTTGCTTCTGGCTTTTCCTTTCAGGAAGCACCTAATGGCAACAACTGGCTAGCTTAATTTACTCCAATGGTATACTGAGAGCTGGACTGTTAAAACTTGTGCTCATTTTCCTGAAAACACTGTGGACCCAAATCAGATTCATAAAATATATTTAGAAGGTTATTATTCAATGATCAAAGGATTCTTCACATTCTTCACTATGGCAATAAGATTCATGGCAGAGTTCATTTAAATCATAGCTAAAACGACTCCCTTTACATGAAGTGATTCCCTTCACATAAAATGAATTTACACGCTTTTCCAAGAATACATCCATTTTACAAGATGAAGGATGCTTTAATGTCTGGCAAGTATTTCCCTGTAGAGAACAGGCCAGTCCCTTTGCCCCCTGACAGTTCTTCAGATGTTTACAAACAGCTGTTGGACTCGTCCTAATTCTCTCTTTTCTGGGATAAGCATCTCTGGCTCCTCCAACTGATTCTCATGTTACATGATTTTCAACTCATTCCTCACTCTGATCTCTCTCCCTGAAAATGTGTGTCCCAGTTTTAATTATTCCTTTAAAAGGATCAGAGACACAACTGGGTACCACTTCGTTTGGCCATCTCAGAACAGAAGTGATCATATCGTGTACTCTGCAGCAAGACTGCTGCTCATATTCTAATTCTCAATGAATTTATTGTCCACTGACATTCATGATGCTTCCAAACCATGATGCTTCCAAACCACTGTCTACTCCTCTTGTGATTGCTTCTTTGACTTTGGTGCAGGACATTACATTTATTCCTGTTAAATGTGTTCTTGTTACACATGTCCTGTTACTTCATTTCCAGGTTATTCTAGAGTTCTGCCTTCAAATATTTACTGGCCCTCTATGGTATCTGCACATGTGATGAGTAGCTCCCCTTGACCTTGGTCTAAGCTGCTAACTGAAAAGTTGAAGGGTAGAAAGGAGAGAGCCTGATGGATTGCTACGAGTCTGGCCCCCTTAGATTGACTCTGGTCCATTAATTAGTGCAACTCAGTCCAGCGAACCCTCTTTACATGCAGTCCATTCATCTTGTCTTCTGTGGGGGAGTACACTCAGAAGCTTGGTCCTACCATTGTCCCCGTGTCTGGAATCCACCCACGGTCTAATGATCGAATGGGCTATATCCCCAGGCTGGGAGCAACTTGCCCAGCCAAACATGAAGCTTCCAAGAGAGGATACTTGAAACTCAAGCCTTGAAGGCATCTTGGTACTCAAGGCCTCTGGCAGTTGCTTTCGCCCACAGGGACTGCTGAATCCCCACCATCTACACGACTGCTTTGCTTACTTTTAGACGTGTCAGAACTGGAGAGAAGGGACAGAGGGTCTTAAGTCTAAAGGCTTTCGCTTTCTTCTACACAGAGGCTTCCGCTTTAGAAATTCCATTCGTGAGTCAGGAGACGGAGCCGCTCGCTACCGGCTGCAGCTGAAACCCTTTGGCATAGACCAAGTTCTAGTGCCTCTCGGTGCAGGTTTTAGGAAAGAGGGCTTTCCTTGGACAGTTCCAGTTTGAGACCTAGCTGTGCAATCCCAGGTGGATGCAGCCCCCACCTTGTCGCTCCTCCCTTCCAAGTGCAGACGCACACGTCATCCCATATGTGATGACTTCCCTTCCATGTGCAGACGTGCACATCATCCCATGTGTGATGACCTTCCTCTCACGTGCAGCTGCATGTGTCATTCTGTATGTGATGCCCATCCTCATCCAGCGATCCTTATTTGAATGTAGGAATGCATTTTTTTTTTAATTAGTGCTCACATTTGGCTCCCTCGCCTATTTTCGAATGCTCTCTCCTGAACAGGTGTATAGAAAATTAAGGCAATTATAAAGAAAATTAAAGCAAACTGCTCCTTGATATTAAGGGAAGAAAATTCCATTAGCCTGATTACTAACATATATCACTTTACACAACATATGTGTGGTGTGAAAGCAATGCCTCCCAATTAATTTATGCATGTATTTTTGTGACCATTTTTCTTTTCTTGTTAAACATACATAGTGGTGACTTAACATGTTAGCTTATATTTCCCTGAATGTAGAAACTTGTATAGAAAAGCGTTAAACGATTCCCTTCTAATATATTTGCTACACTTTCACATTTTTACTCATCGACTTGGTGATGTTCAATTATTGCCTGCCTGGTTTTTTGTTGGAAGGACCCAATTCACTCTAAACTTGACTTTGCCCACCTAGATGTGGGCAATTCTCCACCCTAGGAATTTAACCAATTGGGTAAATATGAACAGAGTTATGGGCCCATTTGGCAACTTTTCATAAGTACCATCTCATCTGCATTCCCTGACACCCTGGATATTCAGAGCTTTTTTACGGACATATCTCAGAAGCTGGAGTTTTTACCTCAATGTTGCAGAGACACTCTTCTAACTTTGTAACAACTTCAGAAAACTCAGGTCTTTCCTGTAAATAGAAAAAAAGAACTTTTTTTTCCCCGTTAAGAATAAAAGGGAGGAAACTCTCTTTGGATTTTAAAATTGGGTATTTGCATTTGTAAAGAATGAGATTAACAATAAAGTATATTTTTATTTAAAATACACTTGTATTGAAGTGTTAATTGAATGTTCATTTGCTGTTCATGGAGGGATGTCGAGTTTCCCTCTGATAAGAGTTTTAAGTCAGAATTTGCAACTACATTCAGATAATGAAATAGTGGAAAAGCTTTAATTAGCTTTGCATGTTTTTAAATGACAGGTTTTCCTCTTCAAAATGAAAGAATAAAAGTGAATGCTAAAAACGATTAACTATCGCAGTGCCTTTATAATACACCGCACATACCATGTCTGGAGGAAAAGACATACTGAGGCTAATTCTATAATTAGCTTAATTTTTGAAAAGATGATCTCAGTTCAAAAACTAAGATCAAGATAGGAACCTTATGGACTATGCCCTATTTTAGGGTTTAAGATAAGCTTGTTATCCTCAAACACTGTCATTAAAGGTATTGTCCATTATCGATCTCCGTGGTCAGCAAGTTTGGATAAAAACAATGTATTACATTCCAAATATATTTCAAGCTTTGCTCCAGTTGCAAGGACATACAAACAATTATGCACCTATGGGAAAAATTCTCGGGATTTTAGAGAATGTTGGCTTCTTTTGAAGACATTGTTGTGTGCTTTCTTTTGTTAGATCCTGAGAACTGCATATCCTGTCATTTCTTCCTTTCTGAAACGTTTACTGCCAGGAGGTGGAAAGCACAATTTACCAATCAGGTGCAGGAACCAACTCATTTAGTTAGGATCCAGCCTTCTCCAAACACATGCTTCCCCAGAGCCCTCTCAGGTATGCCTGGTACCTCCAGCTTGGCAGGGGCAGCGGTCAGAGAGCAATAGCCTTGCTGTGACTGCTGCTTCCAGATGGCTACTCCTCCAAACACCGCCATCTTGCCAGGCTGGCTTCACTCCACCTTCTCACCTTACCCAGACCTCTAGCACTGCCCAGAGGGCCCGTTACACACTCCTAGCCCACTCACTTTCTCACACTCCAGACAGCTAGGCTGTCCCTTCTGTTCTTCCTCAAGTCTAGCTCCCCCTACCCCACTGACCTGCCCACCTATGTCCACCCCCTCGTACTCAGCGTCACTCTTGCTTCTAGATGACTCTGCCTGATTCTGAGGCCAACCCCTTCGACCGACTGTGTGCTCCAGCAATGACTCTCCCTTCTGTTTTGGTTATTACTGATGCTTCCTCTCTACTGTCTAATCCCCAACAGCATACATACGTACTATCCACTCCTCTATCTTAAAAACAAACAACAACATAAAATTCTTGACTCCTCCTTTGCTTCAGGCTACTGCTCTGTTTCTGTTTCCGTTGACAGCAAAGTCGTTCTGGCATTTTGTAAACTTGCTGTCTGGAATCCCCCTCCCCGCATTTGCCGCCCACCTCCATTAACCTTTCTCCCGCATCACCTGACACTGCTCTTGCCAAGGTTGCAAAGACCTCCTTGTTGCTAAATTCAATGGGTGAGTCTCAAGGCTCCCCTCACCTGACACAACACCCAATACAGGCAACCATTCCTTTGTCCCAGAAGCACTCTTCTCAACTGGCTTTGGAGTCTACATTTCCTTACTGTTTTTCTCCACTCTCACTGGCTTCTTCCTAGTCTTCTCTTTTGGTGTCATGTCTCCTCCTTTTCTTTAAATTTTGGGTTGCTCAAGGACTCAGGCTTTGGGTCTCCTTACCACTCTATTCAGAGTTCATTTATTGAGGCATTCATTACATTGCATGCCCTTAAAAAGCAACTCCCAGATTTCTAACTCCAGAACAGCAGTCTCTCCTGAACTCTGAACGCACACAGGCAGTTGATGGCATTTGGTCTTTCTCATTCCATCCCTTCTGCTTGCATAGGTCTAAAACCACAGGAACATCTTGACTTCTCTGTCTATCATCCTTGCATCTAATCCAGCAGCAAGTCACGTTGATTCTGGCCTTCAGATTAGGAATGATCAAGCAGCTTATATCGGATCTTCCCTGCCATAGACAATAACTATAACTCTGGACAAAACATAAGAGACTGTGGGAAGTGAATGAAAGCAAGCAGATCCTGGAGGGGGGTCCCTTAGAAGAAAGAAAGTAGCAAGTTTTCCTTCTTCTTCTTTTTTTTTTTTTTTAGGTCAGAGAAAGTTTATTGAGAAAGTAGATCAGAGAAAAAAAGGGTGGATTCACCTCTCCAAGATTGGAGAGGGGACCAAGTGCTTAAGGAATGTTTGGTATTTTTTTTCCAACAGCATTTAGCCAGAAGGTAGATCACATCTGCAGCTTGGGAAACAGTTAACTTTCTGATTGATGGTTTGCTTGTTTGAAGAACCAGAGGACAGAATTTGGGACAACTGGAGCGGGCTGATTATTGCCTTGTAACAAATGACCATAAATTCAGTGATTTAAATCAATGTCTGCTTATGATCTCACAGTTTCCAGGGTCAGGAGTTAGGGGAGATTAGCTGGGTCCTTTGCCCCGGGGTTCTCCTGACTGAAACTGAGGTATTGGCTGCATTGTGATTCCTCTTGTCTGAGGCTCACAGCCTCTCCCAGGTTCCTTGGCTGTTGGCGGAACTCACATCTTCGTGGTTGTATGACTCATGTCTGTTTTCTTGCCAACCATTGTCCAGGGATGACCCTCAGCTTCTAGAGGATGCCTACGGTGGCTGCCACGTGGCCTCCCCGATGCAGCTCACAACATGGCTGTTTGCTTTTTTCCTGGCCAGCCAGGGCACGTGCCTCTGACTTTGACTTCTGTGAGCAGCTGGAGAACATTTTCTGCTTTTAAAGGGCTCGCCCGATTGGCCTGGGATCCTCTTCCTTGTGCAGTGCAATAAAGCACACTCATAGGAGTGGCACCTCATCGCATTCGCGGGAGGGGGTGAGGCATGGCTCAGACAATGGGGGACAGGAATCTGGGGCCACCTCAGAACCCTGCTTATCACAGACAGGCACCAGAAAGTGAGGGAACTCCTGGAAGCAGCAGCCCTGGAATCTATATAAACTCTGGGAAACTTCTAGTTGATCTGTGAACAATATATGCACGAGGCAGACTCTAAACAGTGTGGCTCGATGCCTGTCATCCCAGCTCTTCAGGAGGCCAAGGCAAGAGGCCCAAACAGAAGCAGCAAAGGTGGTGAGAAGGCAACCACAGCGACAAGCAAGCGAGGACACAGGCTAGCCAAAGACGAGAGCTAAGCAGATTCCGGGTGATTGTTTATTTTAATAATGCAATTTAATGTAAATAATAAATACCTGTCTGATGGAACATGCTAGGTGTGTAAGAGTCAGTAAACCATTGTTTACCCTGAAGTACTTTCTAGCCAGTACTCTTCAAGGCAAGAGAATTTCCTGAGCCCCAAGTTTCGATACCAGCCTGGGTAAATTGGCAAGGCCTTATCTCTACAATTTTTAAAAAAATAGCCAGGCATGGTGGTGTTCCAGCTAGTTGGAAGGCTGAGACAGAGGGATCACCTGTGCCCAGCAAATTGAGGCTGTGGTGGCCACGAGCGTGCCGCTGCGCTCCAGCCTGGGCAACAGAGTGACACTCCAACTAAAAAAAAAAAAAAAGAACTGAGATTGGACCTGCTGCCCCACCTAGGACATTGTTCTTACTCTTTGCTCAGACTGGAATGACTCAACATTTATTTTCTGCCTATGAAAATCCACTGCACTCTGCAAGGCTGAACTCACAAGCCATATCCATCCAAGTAATTCCACAAAATAATGATAAGCCTGTATTTGGCTTTACTTCCTTCTTCCTTTTATTACACAAGGAAGAAGATATTTACATGTCGTTATCACTGGCTAGAAAGTACTTCCAGGGCAAACAATGGTTTATTGACTCTTACACACCTAGCATGTTCCACCAGACTGGTATTTGAGCTCAAATTATTCAAATTAAATTGCATGATTAAAATAAATAATCACCCGGAATCTGCTTAGCTCTCGTCTTTGGCTAGCCTGCATCCTCGCTTGCTTGTCTCTGTGGCTGCCTTCTCACCATCTTCGTTGCTTCTGTCTGGGCCTCTGGAGAGTAAGTCCCCAGCCTTGCAGCCAAAGTGACCCTCTGGATCAGCCATGCTCCTCCAAAAGCCTCCAACTGCTTCCCAGCTCATGTGGGTAAAAGCCCAAGTCCCTGCACTCATCTGCAGGGGACTCAGCCCCTGCCCCCAACCCTGGCTGCGCTCTCGGCCTGCCCTTCCTTCGGGCACTCCGGTGTGGCCATATCACCCTCCTCAGGCAGCACCACCAATGCCTCAGGCGCCTCTGGGGCCCTACCCTCATGCTTCTCTGCACCCGATCTCACCAGCACCTTCCTCTTCTCCAAACTTTTGCTCAAATGTTACTTTACCAGACAGTGTGTTTTGTCCACCGCATTCAGAGCCCTGGAGCTTTTTTCTCCTTTTCTTGCTTTTTTTTTTTTAACTCCACAGCACGGATCACCAGATGACTTACTACAGTTTCATCTGTTTATCGTGCATTTCCCTTCCTAAAACGTCCTTGCCCTGAAGGCAGGGCTCCGTTGGCCACTGCCCCACCCCCAGGCTGTGAACAGGCCCTGCACACGGAAGGGGCTCTACGAATATTTGCCAAAAATAAGCTAGAATGAATAATTTCATTTTTTTATATTTTATTTTTTTCTTACCGATCTTATTATATAGGTACAGGGTTTTATTATAATCTTCTTTGGTTTTTAGATTTTTAGAAAAATCATTCAGAGAATATATTATAAATGATTTATCTTTTTGAACACAAAATTCAAATATTGTTAATATTTCATTGGGAGTTTGAAAAAACCATAAAAATAATGATAACATGTAACAATTACTAAACACTTAGCAATTGAACTCTGACTATCCTTTGCGCTACGTTTTGTAGTATTTTGTGCTAACAGATATGCCCTGGACGTGAGCTCAC